ATATGAATCAATAAATAAAATGTTATGAAGATGCATAAATTTTAAAACACGATGATGAATTTTTCACTAGGTATCTTGAATGCTGTATACCAATTCCTTGCGTTTGGATGGCTGTTCTTGATTGGAATGTGTTCAGTGATCTCCAAGGAAGCTAATGGAACAAGAATTAGGTCTTGAATCGCCCTGGAAGGATGTTTTCAGAATTGACTTTGTGGAGAAAAATTTCAAGTTTGCTTTGTGTTCTTTTGCGCAGCTTAGTGTGTATTCTCATTAGGGTTGTGATCAGGCATTTGTATTGAGTCTATTAGGTCAAAAAACTTGCTCCAAATCTCTTGCAATCATGGTTTTGAAGATTTGATTTTTCACCATGATTTCCATATCTTTTTCCATGCAATTTTGTGTCAATTAGGATCCAATCAAACCAAATCTTCCCATATTTGAATGTGCACGAATTATTGAGTCTAAAACACGTGCAAAAAGATTTGTTAGACTAAATTAAGTATTTTTCATATATTTAAATGATTTAAATGAATTAATATAAATAAAAATTCAAGTAAATAAATAAAAAATGAGAAAATACTTCCCTTTGGGCCAAGTGGTCGTGCACATGCCATGGATGATGAATTATGGAAGAAAAATGGGCCCATTAGCATTTTTAGGTCATTTGAAGTAATGTTGACTTTTCAAAATATCCAAAAATTTCCCAACTTCTACAAGGCATAACTTGCTCAATTTTTAAGCTTTTCTCATGTTCTTGGACATTTTGGAAAGGTCTTTGAGTCCTCTAACCAATGTCTTTGGTCCCATGTCATTTTGATTTACCAATCTCAAGTTATGGTCTTTGACTTAAAGTCCCTTTTTGTTGACTTTTGAAAATGACCTATAATGTTGAAATTGATAACTTTTTGTGAGAGCATTTCTTGGACTTGAAGTATGAAGATGAGTTGTAGGAAATGTCTTTATATTCAAAATGAGCTTTGGATGGAATTTTTATGATAATCCATGTGAAAGTTATGCCCTGGTCAATTTCAGTTGACTTTTTCAGTTGTCCAAATAAGGAAACTTTTGCATCTTGATGATTTCTGAGCAAAATTTTGAGAATCATGATAAAGCATTGATCAAATGATGTTTGTGGCTTCAAAATGATATGTTGACCAAAAATTTGAACTTTTGACTGTCAAATGACCATTTTGCCCCTACAGTTGACTATAGTGCAATTAGGGTTTTTGACTGTGCAGTTTTATGCTGAAAGCCTTGAAACTTGATATGAGGATACTTGACCATGTTTGTAGGCACATGAGACTTGATTGGACCTTTAGAAACTCCATTTTCTTGATCAGAACACAAACCCTAATTTTGACTGTATAGGAGACCTTTGCACTGTGCAACCCTTGGGGAATTTTGAAGCATGACTTGGCAATTTCCTGAAGAATATGGGAGGGCAAATTTTGGGGTACAACAGACGCGTGTTAAACTAAAAAAATAAAACTAACACATTAAAATGATATACACACAACAAAAATCAATAAAATAGACTGTAGATGATCAAAGTTGTAATTAAAAATACTCAGTTAAACATGCTTTGACTGAGTCGAAAAACAAAATGAGCACACCACCACGACCTACGCACACCAGCCTTTCATAAAACTGTCTGGTACATGTTAAAACTCAAAATATTTTATCCGTTAATTTTATGCACAATGTCGAATAGCTTTTACCCGTTAGCCCGTAGAACCAAAATTTTATTTTAATTGGATTCTGATTAATTTCGCACAAAGAATGAAGCAGTGTAAGTAAATAAAAATGTAGAAATGTGATTTAGACTATTTTTTACTTTTAAATAATGTAAATGTTGATCTAAGGTTAACTTTTGATCAACTTAATGCATGTATGGCCGACTGTTGGCACAAATGCGATGAATGAATGATCCTGGAGAAAAATTGAGGTATTGACATATATTATTAATGCGGAAACAAAAACACGTTTATGGATCCCCTTCTTTCCATAAACATCATGCAAAATAACATTAACGTAGTTCCCTATTCTGAACTACTACCACAACACAATAATCACAATTATGTACACATCACATAATTAATCATCAATCATCATAATAATTCATCTCGAATCAATCACACATTCATATCATTACACCTAAAGAAAATATTACATTCATATTACTAATTCACATACAACTCCCTAAAACATCACTTGGAAAAGTACTACACATTAGCTTTCCGATACTTCAAACCACGCAACAAACAGAGTCGCGAATCTCAAGTTATGACCAAAACAATATTAGACTAAGAATACAAAGGATCAATTCAATCTACTGGCATAAGGGATCAATCAATTATCCTCTACTTCCAAACCTTTATTTTTCACGTTTTTTCTAGCATCTATCGATTGACAAGGAACATCAATTGATTGTTCCTTATTCTTCATACATTCTGCTTTTCTGATTTTTGCAATTTGGCTAAGATCAATCAATTAATAGGGCCAATCAATCGATTATTTGCTTCTAATTTTTCAAGTTTTCAAAAGGACCAATCGACCGATCCCATAGGGAAATCGATTGACATAAGTGATTTTCCAAAAAATATCGTTTTTAACACGTTTTAGTAGTTCAAATTCTCTCCAAACCCCACCCAAACACACCATAATAACTTGTTTCAAAAATCTAACATTTAATATCAATCATCTAATGTTATTACATCCTAAACCTACCAATTAACATTTAATTTCACCAATTTAACATTACTATCAACGCATTATGAAAAGCATCTTCATGTTCATCATCACCAATACAACTTATCAACGAGAACATTACCAAATCATATTTCACATACTAAATTCATTAATTATCATATCAATAATCACCATACACAAAAAATCATCATTATCATCAATGTTCGTAATTCATGCATCAAACTTCTCAAAGCACAACAATGGATAAAATCTAGAGGAGGATGCGAATCTCTCTTTACCCTTCATAAATTACACATCTATCATAAGTAGTTCTCCCTCCTTACTTAAATTAATTGAATTCATGGTGTTTCACTGGACATGGGAGACTTGTTTACAAATTGAAGAGTCTTTATATGACTTGAAGTAGTTCCAAGACAGTGGTATCAAAGCTTGTTTGACTTAGTGGGGGAGTAGAAGTGGAACCTAGTATCGATCAAAGTTAATGATACATGTGACTCACATTTGTGGGAGAGATTATTGTGTTTCAAATGTGAAAGTGCTAAAATCCCACATCAATTAGAAATGAAAGAAATGCTGAATTTATAAGAGAGGTAACTCATACCGCCACTACATTTTGAACGATGATTAAATTGAGGTAACAAATAGTAGTAATATTTTGGGAAGGGATGTTATAAATAGTGAGATAGGAGTAAATATTATTTTAGATTTAAAACGACAACAAGTGGAGTAGAAGTGGAACAAAGAAGGTCCTTGGTATTTGTGTTGCGAGGATAATCGAACCTAACAATTCTGTCTCCTAAATCTTTGTCAATCAATCTACACACGCTCTCTGTGTTTTCCTTCTTTTAAGGTTCGTTCGATCCCCCTTTTCTCTTAGATCATACATAGATTCATTGATTCATATCATGCATCCCTTTATTTACAATTTCATTTCATGAATCGTTGATCTTATCTTCATGTTCTGATCTGATTTTGTTACCACAGGTTCAGCAACAGGATCTTAACTATTGCAGGCTCTTTCTTCTTCTAGGTATGTATGTTTACCCTACATTGTTTGTGTTTTTTTCGACATACGAGAATATGAACGGTTGTTTGTTGCATAAGGGTTAAACCTTACACTGCCCTAGACTGTTATTTGATTGGAAATAAGAATATTTGACAACGTTTTTCTGGTTATTGTTGAAGCTTATGAGGTAGTGGTTCCATGGTGTACTCAAGAAAAAATTATTGTTGAGCTGTGTTTGGTTGAGTTAGGGTGATTTTGTTGCTGATATACTTGAGACAAGTTTATTGTTGATCTTTGCTTTGATTGAAACAATGTGGTTTTTCTTGTTGTTATGTGTTAAGAGGAATACGTTATACCGAGATCAAGCCTTGAATTCATTGCCGGAACCAAATACTCGAACCAATTCATGTGTGTTATTTGCCGTTTGAGTTACAGTCGTTTTCAAATGTTGTTGCTTGGTAACGTTTAGAACTTGGTATAAATGAAACTAAAATAGGTAAATCTAGGTCCTTTGCTACTTTCTATATGTGATTGTTAGATTATAAATGAGTTTTGATCTCTCTCTCTTGTCATATTAAGCTTGAATACTGAGAGGATTAAATGTACTTTGCAAAACAGTATTTAAGTTTCGGTACTTTTGTTTTTTATGTAGATTCTTGTTTCCACTTGGGCTACCTTTTAGATTGTTTCAAAGCTTGCTACCTAGTTTGCAAGGGTCAAAATTGTGCTTCCTAACCTTTGTCTTAAACAATCTGTCCTCCTTCTGTAAGGGTTCTGAATATTGTGCCCAATGTTGTTAGTAAGTATCACGCGATTTGTGTGACTCCTATCTTGATTCGAAAACGATATCAAAACACTAATCTATTATGGACCTTAATAATAGTGTAAATCCCAATTCACACGAATCATGAATACAGCTGGATCGCATGATACGAGTTCTATCACGGGTGCAGCCTTGAAAGGACCAGGCCACAGTCGCCCATTTCTAAAGGGCCACTCGGGTTGTTTTCATATATATTTTTCTTTAAATGGAATAAAATCAGCCAAAACCAAACTTTCAATTAACCTAATAGGCTTATACTGGTTCACAAACAGACAGCCCCAACATATTTATTTTGGTCCTCACGCTCTCCGTCCCTCCTACGTGTCATTTTTTGTTTTCTTCCTGCCTACAGTGTGCTTCGTAGTCTCGTTTCTGTTATTCTATGTTTTTGTTCCCCTTTTCTTGTTTGAATCTCGTATCATGATGCATCGTGAATGCTTCACGTACATTTTTTACTCGCTGTCAAACTTTGACTTCCCCACTATGTCTATTATTTCCATGAAACATGCAAGTATAATTTCCTTGAAACCGTAACACATCAGCGTCGTCTATGTTATTGAACTCGGCCATTCCGGCTGTTATCTCGGCACGGAACAGCAGAATCAATAAAACCACGTCAGGCCGTGCCGTCCCGTCACATATGGGTGGCTCGGCTGAAACGACTGCAATAATGGGATTGGATTTAGAACGACGCCGTGTCAGAGTGGCCGCTCCAGCCATGTCAGCCATAAATGATATTACCCCTACATTTTAAGAATAACAAACAAGGTTATTTTATTGAATTTTATTGGCATTGGCAAACGTATTTTGCTCAAGACTTCTGACTTTTATTTCTAAATATGAATACCTCATGAATTTGATTAATTTATTTTTTTAGTTTTTAACAATTATGTGTTCATTAATATTAACTATATTGGTATCCGTGTCACTAAAATATCGGCCGTTCGGCTTCTCGCTCCCGTTCCGTTCCATTTTTGAAGATGGCCGCGTTGTGCCGTGATCCGAGATTGATAACATGCGTCGTGATGCGTTCACAAAGCAAAAGTTCACTCTGTATAATGTTGCTCATTTTATTAGTCACAATAATATCTGATCTACGAGTTAGAAAATACTTCTTCCGATTCATGATTCAAATCTCGATTTAATAACCATGATTGTGGGTAATTCTTATTTAATGAATAGACAAGAGAAAGATATGCATAATCTTGATGGGACACTGAGTTCTTATATGTGTGATGACCCAATTATTGAAGTCAATCCACATCAGCACATTTTCTAGAAGCTGTAAGAATAAGAGTCAGTTAGAGTTTTCCCTGTTTTAAGGGAATTTCTGTTATAAAAGAGAATGTAAGAGTGGGAAATTCATTCAGAAATATTGTTAGAAAGTTTGTTAGCAGAGTTACTCTCGGGTGTTCAAGCAATTCTGCTCTGGTTTAGGAGTTCTTGGAACCTTGGTTCAGTTTTCTATTTCATCCACCATTGTGTTCAAGCAATTCTGCTCTGGTTTAGGAGTTCTTGGAACCTTTGTTCAGTTTTCTATTTCATCCACCATTGTAAGAGCTTTACGCTCAACCATTTGCAGTAAATAGTACAGTGTTACCAATTTTTCTAGGTTCTATCATCTTGATTCAATACCTTGATTGTGCCTAATTCTTTTCAATGAATAGACAAGAGAAGATATGCATAACCCTCGATGGAATTAATATATAGTCTCAAGAAACATAAGAATAAAAATTCTCTTCAAGTGTTGATTTATTCAAGAATGTGCTTTTTCATAAGGCTTGCTGTGCAACAATATTGAGGATTATTTTTCTTAATAATTTATTTGATCATCTTTTTCAATGTATCAGGTGTTAGACCTAGGAAAATCAAATGTATCGTGGGAAGTTTTCACTTACACCCAAGAATCAAGTCAATGACCTAGCAGGTTCAGGTTTTCCTAATAATCAACATAAAAGTCCTCCCGAACCCATATATGTTTCTTCTTCGTCTTCAGATGATGAAAGTAACATGCCTAATGATGACGCATCTAAACAATTAGTGCTTTATGACCCTGTGATAAATGGAGACAACGCAATTCAATCTCCGGATCCTTTTCAGTGGAAGCCTCCACCGCGTCCACGAAGTAGACCTTCAAGTTCAACTCCTAGAGTTTTGCCAGCAGTTGGTGCTTTCACTGTTCAATGTGCTTCTTGTTTCAAATGGAGGTTGATTCCAACAAAGGAAAAATACGAAGAAATACGCGAGTATATCCTTCAACATCCTTTTGTTTGTGAAAAAGCTCGTGAGTGGCGACCCGATATATCTTGTGATGATCCAGAGGATATTTCCCAGGATGGCAGTAGAATTTGGGCTATTGACAAGCCTAGCATTGCACAGCCTCCAGATGGATGGCAGCGACTTCTACGAATTAGAGGTGAAGGAAGCAGCAAATTTGCAGATATGTATGTATCCATTTTCAGTCATTCTTTTAATCAGTTATTAGAATAGAAACAAAACCTTAATCAATGACACAATACCACTATTATGAATTTTCTGCGCTAAGAAGTCGACCCTCTCAAGAAAGTTCTAGGTTGTTCATCATCATTCTGTCACTGTTGTGATTTTTTAATATTTCAGATACTATGTAGCACCATCAGGCAAGAAATTGCGCTCAATGGTCGAGGTCCAGAAGTATGTTCCTTCTGCTTTACTATCTATGCAATTTGCACCTTGTCTTAATTGAATTATTGTCATAACTATTATTAATTACCGGCTTTCATCTTTCTTTTATTTCGCCCGTGGTGATTGTGTTTTTAGGTTCTTGGCGGATCATCCAGAGTACATGACAGATGGCGTAACTCTTTCACGGTTCTCATTTCAAATACCTAAGCCATTGCAAGAAAACTATGTGAGGAAGCGTTCCCATGCTAAATCAGTTGAACCTGAGCAAGGTACATAAAAATTTAACTAAATCATAAGGGTTCAAATGCGCCAAAATTTTTATGGATCTAGAGTATAGTGTATCAAAAAGTAAATGTTAATCTAGCACCCTTATTATTATTATTATAAATGAAGTGTTGGTACTGAGAATTTTTGTGCCGTGTTATCACGGTTATATGTGTGATGCAGTGAGTCCTCTAGCTTGGGTAAGTCCAGAAGACGGCAATAATTCAAATGAGGGAAGACTTGGGCTTCCTGCTCCCTTCATGGAAGCATATGACCCCGACAGCCATCCTGCAAAGAAGCAAGCAACTCGGAGTTTTTTTCCATAAAACAGAAAGAAGGAAAGACCTGACCAAATCTCTAAATATCCATTTCGAAGTTGTCTCATTTTTTTAGTTGCTTTTGGATGTAAGATTGCATCTTCATCTGTAATTCGTCTTTGCAAATAGAGAAATGTATTTTTTTTTTTGCATTAGTAAACCAAGAGTTAAAAATCAACTGCTACATTGGATGAAAAATACTACAGTTTAGCCTTGGCATGTAGTTTGAGGTATGGTCTAAGTATTCCAAAACAATGTGTACAATGTATACTGATGTATTGATTTGGTTGAAAAATATTCGATTTTTATTTTATGTACACTCTTTAAAAAAACTAATGGATGCAAATTAATTTTCCTGAATGACATGAGATGAAATAGTTTTTGTATAATATTATTCGAGACGTAAAATGGGGTCAATCACAGTCAAGTGCCGTGTTTTACATTTATGTGACTTGCTACATAGATTGGCATTTGGATTTCATTTACAGACAAAATTCATGGTACTGGTAACCAAGGGTTACAAATTTTTGATGGACATTTAATTTCCTCAGAGATGCATCCATGTGGTTGGTAACCTTAAACTTGGACATGTATGTGGCTGCCTGATGTGATGTTGTCAAACCAACAAAAGGAAAACTTTAGAGAACTAGATATACTCTGACCATTACAGTCTCCCCAATGATGATGTGCTAGAACGGCTTCCGTATCCCGATATTCCTGACAAAGAATCTGATTCACTCATAATGTCCTACAACACAACATACAGATATATAATTAAGTATTGATTTGATATTGTCAATGCTATATTATTATATAACTAATGAAATCGAAAGACTCACTTGATTTGTAGAAACTGGGGAATTCATGAAATAGTTGGCACTTCTGTGATTGAATGCTGCACTACCGCCTCTAAACATCATCATAGGCATGTTTTCATCGGCGAACATTCTGAGTTTGTTGAGCTCAGGAAGCACGACTTTTCCAAGATCAGGTCTATCTTTTCTTCTCATTTCTGCACACTGAAGGGAAAGTTTGGCGAAATGTAAGGCGTGTTCAATAGGCCAATCCTGAACAGCAGGATCGAGCATGTCAGGAAAAGTTCCCTTTTCAATAGATCTACCAACATGATGAGTCAAACCCATTGGAGGCTTGGCGGTAATCATTTGTAAAAGCATGATTCCAAGTGAGTAAATATCAGATTTGATACCAAGCATGCCGGTTTGCTGGTACTCAGGGTCAATGTAACAAAAAGTTCCAGCAGTCGAAGTCATGCGATACTGAGTTACAGTGTCTTGAACAGAAGGAGGAACGAGCCTTGCCAAACCAACGTCACCAATCTTGCTCACATAGTTTCGGTCAAGCAAAATGTTTCCAGGTTTCAAGTCACGGTGCACAATCGGTTCTGGTTTAGTCTGGTGAAGGAAAAGGAGTCCGGTGGCTATCTCAGCAGCAATTTGGAATCTCAACTGCCAAGGAAGAGGAGGTGACTTTCCTCTCCTGAACAAACAATCATCCAAACTTCCATTAGCCATGTACTCATACACTATACAACCAAATTCAGGACATGCTCCTAAAAGAAGCACCATATTTGGATGTCTTATACAACTCAAAACTTCAACTTCCTGGTTAAATTGTTGCCTTCCTTGAGCTGCATCTGATTTCAACACTTTGATAGCAACCTGCGTATGATCAAGTTCACATCTGAAAACAGGACCATACCCTCCTTCACCGATTTTGAGACTGTCTGAAAACCTTTCTGTTGCAGCTTCAATTTCCTCAATACTGTATTTTCTATATCTAGCAGTGCTATGCATTGGATTATAAGAATCGTCCGATTTTCTCCTCTGAGTTGCTTCTATTTCGCTTTTCCTTTCTACGTTTATTCGCTTTTGTACTTCCAATGTTGCGATTCTCTGAGATGCTTCCGCTGCCTTGAGCGCAGCTTTACACTTTTCTTGCTCCAACTCTACCATAGCCATAGCTGCTCCTTCACCTTCTCTTGCCTCCTCCAACTTCTTTTCTTCTTCGGATCTCCAACGTTGTAGTTCTATTGCCTTCTGCTTGGCTGTGAGTGCTTCCTTACAAGCTGAACTGTACATTTCCATAGTTTGTTTGAGTTCAAGCTTAAGCCTTCTCATCTCTGCTTCGACTTCATCTCCACCATCAGATAACCTTGATGAAGAAAGACCACCACCACTGCTATGAGAGCTGAATGAATAATCATCCAAATGAGATGACATGTCAATTGACTTTGGTCCTCCTCCTCCTCCAGAATAGGATGAAGCGAAGCTGCTTCTTGCATCAAAATCTGAAAGCCTCCCGGTGGGAATTCCACTACTAATACTAGTGTCTAGATCGTCCATGTTATACATCGAAGGGAATATTCGATCAATACTTGGTCTTCCACTGCTCACAAATGATATATCTGAATCAGGACACGAGGACTCGTATGCTTTGTGTCCTCTCCTATTGAACGGTGATCTGATCAATCATGTCATCATCAACAATTTCATTTATTATTATCATCAACGGATCAATGAAATTATTAGCTTAAATAAAGTGAAAACATACATCATTTCTTGTTCATCATCCAGCCCCTGCCGCATCCCGAATGCTGAATGCCTATCTGATATAGCTGTATAAAAATATATTCATTCAAATTTCAGACATTTAATCATCAAACAGGCCTAGTGAATTTTGATGACACAAACAAATTATTAATAATTACTAATTAAATTAAGCACACATACGTCGCGGTGGGTAGTTTCTTGTCAAATGAGGCTCCGATCTTTCCGGACTTCGACCCGCCATTGCATATTGCTGTTGAAACTGCTGATTACGTGACGGTGTTGGTGGCGCAATCATAGGCATCACGGCTGGTTTAGGAATTGAAGCTGTTGCAGATCTAACAGTAGAAATCTTTCCTTTAGAAATTATATATACAGTGCAGAATGGTGGTGCCGCTTTCGAAACAGTGGTTGGAACATCCGTTGTTCTAAATCTTCTGTCATAAATTGTTCACAGTCACACAGAATTCTGTTATATATATACATGATCATGAAAATGGACAAAACATGAAATGAATTAATATTAAAAAATGTACCTAACGATGCCACCCCTTGATGCTGCTCCTAATACAAGAAGCTCAATACAATGAGTCGAAATGCAATCTATTAACGCCTTCGATATATCCGTATCCTCCAACAACACTTCTCTGCATTGTATCTGTCGTTGCAAAATCACATTTTATTCTTATTCTCGAGTTAATAAAACATAATAACCGAATTAACAAAACATAATAATGAAATAAACTTACGCTTTTTCTATTGCAGAAAACACGAAAGGAATCAAAAAGATCTTTTGATTCGCTATCAAAGGCATCTTCATTTACATCGCCATTACATGCATAGCCTCCAGCTGCGCATAACCATATATATAATGTTTGTAAGTATATAAGCATATATGAAAAACTACGGAGAATGAATGAATGAATGAATGAATTACATGACGATGATGAGATGGAAGTGGAAGAATTAATTTTTGCTTTAACATGAATGAGATAGAGGCATTGATCTTTAGGCAGAAGATTTTCCACAGCCCATTTAGCAGCATGTTGGCTAGTTTTATTATTCTCAATAGCAACAGCAACAATGCGACCTGCACCGAGTTTCTTTTCGGAACTCAACCGAGACATTTTGATTTAGTTTCTTGATATGATATATGATATATGATTCTTTTTCTTAAGGCTTCTTTTGCAAAAGAAGCTTAAGAGATTATTGATTAACCAGCATAATCTACTTGATGAATTATGAATGTTGTTATAACAAACAGTCAGGGATGTTTATATGTTGTTAATTTGTTGAAACTCCAGCGGCAGTTGTAAGTGTTGTTTGTTGTTGGATTCTATGTTTAGGTAAGATTATCTAACAATCTTACCTAAGCAACAACCTTCGTACGATTGTTTTCTTTCTCTGTCCTCCTTAATTTGAACAAAACATATATAGGCTTTTTCTTGTGACAATGTTATTTATTAATAGTTAATAGTACATGTCTATATACAATTTTATTTTATCTTAGTTTAAATAAATTGAATTTAATAATGAGAAAATTTGTGGTTAAATAATATTTAATGTCTTCTTAAAAAAATTAAAAATTATCTTACTAACGTGTTTATCTGTCAATGTTTACATTTTTTATGAATACTACGTTTATATATATATATATATATATATATATATATATATATATATATATATATATATATATATATATATATATATATATATATATATATATATATATATATATATATATATATATATATATTATTCATAAAAAAAGTAAACATGGATATATAAGCACGATAGTAAGACAATTTTTTTAGAAAGACATTAAATATTATTTAGCTACAAATTTTCTTATTATTAAATTAAATTTATATATATATATATATATATATATATATATATATATATATATATATATATATATATATATATATATATATATATATATATATATATATATATATATATATATATATATATATATATATATATATATATATATATATATATATATATATATATATATATATATATATATAAGGGTTGAAACAGATTGTCGTTAAGAACAAATTAAAATAAGAAAAATAAGTTTTTTTTTAATAATTAAATGTAAGAAATTCTATTAAGTTTTTACAAACGAGAGAGAGAGAAGAGGGAAGAAGAAAAAAACTTAGGATTTGTTATAACTGTTTTTCTATTCACTTTCTCTATTAGAGTTTATAAATTATAAGAGTTTACAAATTATAAGCGAATAACAATAATTAACCTCTCCGAACAATTTGAGAGAACTAGTCTATTTATAGACTACTAAGTTAACGTAAACTACAAGCTAACTTAAACAATTGAGCTAAACAAACAGGCTACATTTAAAATGTTAACTGTGAAAAATAGGAATAAGAAATTTTATAAATGTGTTTGAGTGAGTAAAACACTCAGCAACCTTGATATTTATACACATTATATAATTAATTACATATTATGTTTACAAGGAGCAATAAATAATCCAACTCTCTAAATGCATACATCTAAATATACATGAACCTAAGACTTAAATGCTCATTTTAGTGGAGAACATACAATTTATTTTTTCTATTTTCAACACTCCCCCTCAAGCTGGTGAATAAGTATTCTCCATTCCCAAATTGGATACAATTCGTTCAAAATTTGTGCTACTCAATCCTTTAGTGAGAATATTTGCAAGTTGCCCTTGTGATGACACGTATGAGGTGCAAATTAGCCTAATATCAAGCTTCTCCTTAATGAAGTGTTTATCAATCTCAATATGCTTAGTTCAATCATGTTAAACTGAATTATATGCTATATTGATAGCTGACTTATTATCACAGTAGAGCTTCATGGATCCTTCCCATTTGATTTTCAAATCTTCTAAAATAATTTTGAGCCAAAGTAATTCACAAATGCCTTGTGCCATGGCTCAAAATTCAGCTTCAACACTAGAAAGGGCTACTATATTTTGCTTCTTACTCCTCCAAGTCACAAGATTTCTTCCAAGAAAGATGCAGTACCCTGTAGTGGATCTTTTGTCAACGATTTGGCCTGCATAATCTTCATCACTGTAGGCCTCAAGGGTTGTATTTCCATTTCTTTTGAATAAAATTCCTCTTCTCGAAGTTCCCTTGAGATACTGTAGGATTCTATAAACTGCTTGTAAATGGTTTTCTTTAGGACGGTGCATGAACTGACTAACCATACTTACAACATATGTAATATCGGGTCTAGTGTGAGACAAGTAAATTAATCTCCCAACTAGATGTTGATACATTTCTTTATCTACTACAACATCTTTTGTATTACTCAGTTTAAGATTTGGATCCACATGAACACTTACAAGTTTACACATTATTTTTCTTATATTTTTTAGTAAATCTGTAATATATTTTTGTTGAGATATAAAAATGCCTTTTCGGGAATGTGCCACCTCGATTCCCAAGAAGTACTTCATCTTTCCAAGAGTTTTTATTTCAAACTCCTTATCCAAACACTGACTTAAGAGTTGTTGCTCCTTCCAATCATCTCCTGTAATTATATTGTCATCCACATATACTAACAGAACTGTTACTCCCCCTTGTAGTGAGTGTTTGTGAATAAGGTTTGATCCTATTGACTTTGCTTGTACCCCAAAATGTCATAACCTTAGTGAATCTTCTAAACCATGCTCGAAGTGATTGTTTTAGTCCATGTAACACCTTTTTCAACCAGCAACCTGTATTGTTAGACACATTTTTTTCATACCCCAGTGGTACATGCATATAAATCTCCTCTTTGAGTTCCTTATGTAAGAAGGCATTCTTCACATCGAATTGTTGTAAATCCCAACCATAATTGGCAGCAAGTGACAAAATTACTCTCATTGTATTCATCTTTGCAACCGAAGCAGATATATCTGAATAGCCAATTCCATAGGTTTGTGTAAACCCTTTGGCAACCAACCTGGCTTTATATCTTTCGGTTGATCCATCAACCCTATATTTTACTGTGTACACCCATTTGTATCCAACCGACCTCTTTCCTTCTTCTAAAGTCACTAACTCCCGAGTTCCATTCTCCTTCAACGCGTTCATCTCAATATTCATAGCTTGCTTCCATTTTTCACCAGACAATGCCTCAGAAACATTAGTGGGTATGGAAATAACATTTAAGTTTGTAAGGAAGGCTCTATGGGTAGATGATAATTTTTGAAAAGAAAGATAGTTTGAAAGGGGATATAAAGGCTATTTGGTGTATTTTCTGGTACATTTTCTAATAACAATTGGAAGGTCTAGGTCATCATTTGTTATTTGGGTCATCATTTTATATTGTAATTAAGAAGAATTAATTACCTCATCCAAAGGAGTAGAGTCATACTCTTGAACTTGTGTCGATTCATAAATGGCCTTTGACTTTCTCATGTAAACCAGATTCTTTCCATATCTTACATCCACTCCAGGCCCAAGTTCAGCAAGTGGTGTATTTGATTGATTTGACTCAACTCCTAGAGGGTAATCGATTAATAAGATATGTGTTAGTGAGAAAACCCCCCATAAATATTTTGGAATATTTTTATGAAACAACAATGCTCAGGTTTGGTCTAATAGATGCCCATTTTTTCTTTTCGTGATTCCATTTTGTTGTGGTATTTTAACATAAGAAGACTCAGGGACAATTCCCTCTTTTTGACAAAAAGAAGTAATAACATGATTGAAGTACTCTTTTCCATTATTAGACCTAAGCCTTTCGATGTTTACTCCAAATTGGTTTTTAATCATGTAGAAAAACTTTGAGAAAACAGTACTGACGTCAAACTTGTTTTGGAGTAAAAACACTCAAGTAACCCGAGTACAATTGTCTATAAAAGTAACAAACCACCTAGCACCTGTTACATTTGGATTGGTAGAGGGAGCCCAAACACCTAAATGGATAAGATATAAGGGTGAAAGACTTCTTTTGTTGTTTAATGGAAAAGGTGAATGCTTATGTTTAGCAAACTCGCATACATCACAATGAAGACTTTCAATATCTACCTTATTGAATAAAGATGGAAACAAAATTTTAATGACTCCAAAAGAAGGATGGCCTAATTGACAATGAAAAAAAGATTTTTTTCCTTTTTAGAGAGTACTTACTATGGCATAAATGAGTGGGACAAGTGGAATTTTATACACTAATCTTATTCTTCAAGATAGTAAAGGCCATTCCTTTCTCTAGCACGTCCAATCGTCTTTCCTGACTCCTTATCCTGAAATATACAACAATCATTATGAAAAGTAACACTACAAGATAAATCATTTGTAACTTATTGTATGGAGACAATATTCGTGGATAGTTTTAGAATAGGGAGGACCCTTTTTAGGGTTATAGAATAATTTATTTGGACATCTCCAATTCCGCCTATAGTTACAAGAGTATCATCTGTATTAAAAATCTTTTTATTACTAGAACAAGGGGAATATGTGGAGAATTGTTTCAAAGAGGGTGTCATGTGGTATGTGGCTCCTGAATCTAATATCCAAAATAAACAAGAAGGTGTTTCTGAGACATGAAATCCAAATGAGGGTGGAAATTTACCACAATACGCAACACTGCAATCACCTGATGACTTTTCCATACTATTGGTCATGAAGGTAATAGAAGCAACAACCAAATTTTATGTGTAAGATACCAAAGAAAACAAGATTCGATAAATAAATCAACTCAGAAAGTATAGGGAAACAGATGGAACTGTGCAGGAAGTGACTGAAAAATGTGCAGAGCGGTACCGACGACTGTAGGAAACTGTACAACATCGGCCGGAAAAGTGTAGATAGCATTTAATTGGGAAAAAACTTGACAACAAGTGTTGACCAATTAAGATTTAAGTGTTTTGACAACATAAAATGCCCAGTCAGATTTCTAAATAATGATTAGCGGAAGTAGAGTCCCCTAGAGTAGGAGTTCTGATGCCATGTGAAAAATAAAAATAAGAAATTTTATGAATGTGCTTGAGTGAGTAAAGCACTCAACAACCTTGATATTTATACACACTATATAATTAATTACATATTATGTTTATAAGGAGAAATAAATAATATTCTAACTCTCTAAATGCATGAATCTAAATATACATGAACCTAAGACTTAAATGCTCATT